TGTGATGCTTGCAGAAAAAGTAAACAATTACAATATAATTCATATTAATTTTTGCCAATATAGCGTAAGAGCGCCATGCCCGCCATCAAAAGATAAATAATAGATGAATAATAGATAATGTAATATTGTTATATATTTTATTATGTTATTATTATGTTCTCTAATAAAGGATTAAAACGGATTAAAACGGATTAAAAAGGTGAGAATGTCGTAATAACAAAGGGCGTTATAACTTCGTATCAGAATATTATGATTAAGATAAACTTAAGTTTTGATTTCAAAGGTAAACTTTGATCAATTTCCCTTGGACAAGTCAGACAATCTAAAAATGTAATGCGCAACACATGTTAATAAGATGTATGATAACGGTGATAACGCCATTTGTATAAAGATCATCCTTTTTTTTTTTTTTTTTATTATACTTTTATTAATGCTTTTATTATACTTTTATTATGCTTTTATTATGCTTCTATTATGCTTCTATTATGCAATGCTATTGGATAACTTTAGCTTCGAAACGAGTGTAACCGGAAGAGTTCCTGCAGGCATAAAAAAATTTTTTTTCTTTCTTTAATCTTTTTAGTTCAAAAAGATAAAAAAGATAAGACACGAAGGCGTGCGTGCGTAATTGAGCGTATGTATGTGTGTATGTGTGTATGTGTGTATGTGTGTATGTGTGTATATGTGTATATGTGTATATGCGTAAAATGTAAAATAAAAATATCATTCATTATTTATTCATTAGTTATTCATTATTTATTCATTATTTATTCATTATTTATTCATTATTTATTCATTGTTTATTCAATCGTTCAATTAACACATTAAACGAGCTAAACGATGAGAAAATCTTTTTTTCGGCATTCCGCGCATTCCGTATGGTTTCGAATATCATAAATATCATAGTTACAGATCTAGAAAGATAAACCAAGATCTAGTTATCAAACCGGAATTTGATATGATTGGGTGAAACCGTAAATAATGCGCAGTAGCAATATCGAAAACTCGTGGTTTTTTTCGATTTTCTGCAAAGAAAAAAAAATATATATGCATTAAAAAAAAAAATATGCAAGGGTTGTACTTATGCTTTTACTTTTTTCTTTTTCGAAAAACAATTGTTTTATAAACAAGGATTCCGAACGTAGAGAAAATCTAAATTGTTTACAAATATGAATACAGGAATATGAAAATGTCACGCCTCATTTATCATTCTCATTTAATCATCTCATTTAATCATATCTCGTTTATCTCTCATTTAATTATCGTGTACTTATCATGTGATTTCTGAAACGATTAATACGATTAATGATTAAATTGATTAACTACCACTACGTAGAATTTTGACATCATAGTTTTCATAATAAATTTTATACCCTGATTTCTATCATTATCACTAACAGCCTTACAGCCTTTTACAGCTTTGCAGCCGTGCAGCCTTGCAGCCTTATAGCATTATAAACCTTACAGTCTCATAGTATTATAACTTTGCAGCATCATACGTAGCATTATAACCTTACAGCTTATAGCATTATAACCTTACAGCCTTATAGCCTTACAGTCTTACGACCTTACAGCCTTGCAGAATTTACGGAATCACGGAATTGTAGAATTACCGTATTACGGAATTAGCATTTTTTGATGAAACAAAAAAGAAAGCCATCGATTTGAGGCGTAATAATTGTTATGATTCTAACGATGTTATGCCGATGTTATGCGATGTTATGATGTGGCTTGAAGCTATCAAAATCTAAAGTTAGACTAAAATTAAACTGAATTAGTATAAAACTTTAGTAATTTAACTATTGTAAAAAAAAATTTTTTGTCTCATGATACAATGAAACAAGAATAAATCACCTATTAAATCTGGTTGCCTGTTTGCACCATGAATTTTTTACGTATCATCATTATTGTTATCATTATTATGTTATTATTATGTTATTATTAACTCCTTCAATGAAGATAATGATGATACTAATTGGTCAGAATTTGATACAGAATATTCTACCAATTACTTTTTTTAATATTCTCGTAAATCTTTCCCGTGCAGCTACGTCATACTTATCCCCGAACTTGTTTTTTTAGATTTATAATGAAAATATCGCTGGTTTTCCAATTCCGGTAATGTACCATCACTCGTAAATAGATGTAAATAGATCTTCATCTATTTAATATATATATATACGTATATATATCAGATATACGTATATATATATATATATCAGATATACATATTTATCAGATATATGTATACATATACATATATATATATGTATGTATTAAATAAATATAAAAAACTGATTTACATATTATATTATATTGTATTATATAATATAATATGTATGACATGTAACAAGCAAGCCCGAGAAAGCGGAAATTCGGTACTTTGCCACAAACAAAAGCATTTTCTCATTTAGGAACGGTTTAGCTCATTCCACGACTTTTCAATCTCGGAAACAAAACTTTGGTGTAACCAAGGGCGCAATCTTGATTTTAGTTACCGATATCTGGTATAAAAAAAAAAAAATTAATTTGTATTATTTTCATAAGACTTTGTATATAAAAAAGCATGTTTAAATTTCGTACTAACCTGATAAAGCATTAGGTGAGAACTTTTATTTCAAAATTCCGTATTGACTCGGTGATGACTCAGATAAGAAATGTATAAATTGCCTTTAAAATCTTATGAATGCGAGAATGAATGTACCTTGATGTAATTATAATATTATATAATATTATATATATATTGTCATACTTACTTTTATCATACTTTTATTATATTTATTTTTTACCATACAATTCAAAAAAAAAAAAAAAAAACATTGATTATTATTAGAATTGCATTGTGGAAATTAATTCAACAGCGTGAAACCGAGTGGCTTAGGATAAAAATGGCGGGCTAATTGATTACTCAATTACTCATTGACTTCCAATTTATCGATAATTGACCGATAATTGACTGCCCAATTGATTACTAGTTTGATTACTTGGCTGCGGGTTGTAAGTGGCATCATTTCCTACATTGAATCTACATTGAATCTACATTAAATATATTGTAGATCATGTTAAATTCAGTATGAAAAAAAAAACAAAGACCCGAAAGCAAAAAAAGAAAAATGTGAGATTATTATAAATAAATTCTTATAATGAGAGTGTTATACGTACTGTAGTTAGTGTTATACTATAATGTTTCGGGTATATGTATGTGTATCATTGTAATTTTCAATGAAAACATCCTAAAACTGGCTTTCCTTCTTATTCATTTCGAGACTTCATTGTCGTTAGGTACCTTACCTGTCCTATGATGATAACATGAATTATACTGGATGCTATAACTTGAAATATTATTGGTTCCATTTGAATTTTTATAAAACGATCCTTATCTTGGCATATACTCACACTATATTATACATATATGTGTACTACATTATGTTTCACGTGACTATGCATAAACAGTCACTGCGCCATACAAGCATGATCATCATATTTCTAACCTTTTTGTTAAACCTTTAAGACGCGTTCTAATATGTACGAGAAACAACAGTTCAATAAATGTTTATCATTTATATATATAATTTTCTTTGTTCAATAAATGTAAAAAAACCTGATCATGTTCTCGAATTCTTTTAAGATATCCATAAAAGGTTCATATGCGTACTTTATCATTCTTAATTTACAACATTTTGTTTATATGTAAGTCTAATGTTAACCAATATGTAAAATATGTATTTGGAATATCGCTGCAAACATCTCGTTTTTTTTTTCGATCTTCGTACATACGATTCGACAAGCTAATTTTACTTTCACCAATCAATTAAATCACGAAAGTTGTAAAAATGCCCCACGGATAAAAAATGACTGACCCCCCAATTTTTTTTTTTTTCTTTTCTTTTCTATGTAGTAAGCACGCGCCTCTTCTCCATTTTACCCCCTTTTGTATGTCTTTTGTATGTACAAAAAACTTGTAATTTCGTACAATCGGGATTTCTCCTTAGAAACTTTATATGCTTGATGTTTACATATGTTTGATGTTTACATTTTCTTTACTTTTTCTTTACTTTTATATGTTTACATTTTCTTTACTTTTATATGTTTACTTTTTAAGTTTTACTTTTTTTCAAGTTATATATGTATTTCAAAAACTTAATACAGATTAATACAGACAGTAAAATACAATAAACATATATTATTCAATAAACATATATTTTTGAGAAAAGATTATTGCTTTTTGATCCTCTTTTTTTTTTCAAACTTTATTATGTAAAAATTTACGATTCTATAATATGGAATTTATATATATATATATATTTATATATTTTTAAAATCTTAGGTGGGTTTGTTTCTCGTGTTATTTGAAATTAAAAGCATAAGAAAAAATTTATATTTATCGAGAAAAAAGTACTAATATGTAATAAAAGCTGTACTAAATACTAATTGAATAAAACTAATTAATGGCCTTTTTTTTTTTTTTTTTTTCTTTTTTTCTGTTGCTTTTTTTTTTTTTTTTTTTTTTACGAAAATATTATATTGAATAAAATTAAACGCAAAAAAAAAAAAAAAAAAAATTATTTGCCATTAAGTGACAACTAATCAAAGTTTTTATGTATGTGTGTATGGATGTTTTGCCATGTAAAGAGAAAAAAGAAAGGGTGATGGAAATATGCTAAAACTACAATACAGATGCAAATATAGTAAAAGAAAAAAAAAATGTCTAAAGGAAAAAAAAAAACTGTACATACAAAGAAAAAAAGCAGTGTAAACGAAAAGGTTGCGCCATCTAATAAACGCCTTTACAATATGAAATTGAGCTATAAACACGGAAAAAATATATGAATTTTTTGCAAGAGTAATTATTGTTCGGAATCTCTGTTACATTCAATCATGTTCATCATATATCCATCAAATAAGATATATCTATCAGATATTCAGATATATTCAACCACATTAAATTTCATCCGTCATCTATAATATATAATATTCAATATTCACCATGTTCGATCAGATCATACAACGGTTGTAGTGAATGACATATTATTAACAGGGAATCCCGAAGAAGCTGACCGAGCATTGATAAGACTAGATTGAACACGTCTTGTATAAAATACACCAACTGGATCCATAACATATTGAGGTTGTGTATTTCTTACAGTAACGTTGGTAAAAGTTTGTCGTACTTCATAAGATTGTTGTGAAGAATGACTAGAGTATACCATGTTTGATGAATTTGATGAAGAGGAAGAAGTAGTGGTTGGTATATTAAAATAGGCGGAGACTCGTCGAGAACTTGAAGAACTAGATGGAGGTGTTGGATAAGCAATGGTCTGAGCATAAACCTGTTGTTGAGATTGTTGTTGAGGAGCTTGTACAGTAGAATACATAGAGTAAACGTTTGCTCTTTTTGGTG